TAAGTATGTATTTATAATATATTTTTTAGCCGTATATTTGATGGGCACCATCGTAGTATAAGAAAAATCTTGAGTATAATGTTTTTTATGTATACGATGTATGTATTTACGAATGTATTTTTGCATAGGCTACGGTAACTGTTAAGCATCAAATCAAATAGCCCGTATGTTAAAATGTAGTAGCACCATCGTAGTATAAAAAAAATAGTAAAATGTTTTTTATTTATATTGCGTGTGTGTTTGCGAGTATTTTTAAATTGAAAAACAGCAAAGAGATTGACTACAAAAATACTGGAATGTCTATTGTTTTCAAACTTTAATAGAAACTGAACTAAATGTTTGCTAGACTTACATCGGGGACGGTCAACAAGTCGCGCACATGTTACTCCTTTTATTCTCTCTGAAAGCAATTGAGAAAATAAACCGTCAGAACAACTGTTTCGCTGGCGGGTTCAGTAGTTTGACAATAACTCAACTTGTACTGTTTAGTTTGTTTCCAGAACAAATTTTGTATACATATCTACATATAATAAAATCCTAAAATATTGACGACACGAAAATCATCTGTTCATCTGAGTGTTGAGCTTTTAGGTGAAAACGGCTAGTGGAATTGGGAAAAAAATTTCACAAAATATGCGTCAACTTATAGGAAAGATAAAGAAACAGATAAAGCTGCAAAAAGTATAGGTGTACTTTAAACTCTTCTTCTAATCTGATACTAAATGTATGAGTGTGTTTAATGTCAAAATGTTGAATGTTTTTCAATTTATATTTAACTAGCCACCCGTCCTCGGCTTCGCTCGAGTGTACATATATTATATGTATAAACCTTCCTCTTGAATCACTTCATATATTAAAAAAACCGCTTCAAAATCCGTTGCGTAGTTTTAAACATTTAAGCATACATAGGGACGGACAGACAGGGACAGCGATTTTGTTTTATACTATGTAATGAAAAGTTTTTTAATATTATTATCTATTATAGGCACGGATTAGTCGAGTGTATATGCTTAACGATTACATCTTGTATAGGCGATGGATACCGCTTAACATCAGGCAGGCCGTTAGCTTGTTTGTCATTGACGGCCTCGATGGTCTAGCAGTTTAACACACCGACTTATTTCCGATGGTCGCAGGTTCGATTCATTCGACAAAACAATTTGTATTCTTGAGTATGATTGTTTGTGTCGGTCTTGGTGTTTCCTATGTATAATCTATATATATTTACGAAAAAAAAATCTATATCAGTTATCTAGTATCCACAATACAAGCTTTAGCTAGGTTAATTGGGGTCTAGATGGCGCTGTGTAAATTATCTGAGATTATTATTGTTATTTCATTTAGAAAAAAAAAAGAAACTTATCAATCTCAACGTCAGATACTTTCAGACGGAGCATATAAAAAAATGCATTATATAGACCTCACCGATCTCTAAAAAGCGTAGTACAAATACGAAGTAATTTACCGTCGGTAAACACAAGTGGCTCACTGCATCTTTTGCGGGATTTCTATAAACAAATCCTTCTGTACTCGGAACAAAGCTTGTCTTAAAGGATCCAAGCGTGGCACGGTTTTGTCACGTTTTCGGCTCCTGTCCAATTCCTTTACAGAAAACGCCAATAAAAAGATTGTATGTTAGATAAAGTCTAAATTAGAAATGTGGATATAATGTAGATGTAATAAAATATTTGTTTATCTGTAGCATCTTATAGCCTATGGTCTATAGAGTTTGTAGAATACCTGCTCATCTTGTCTATGCTTGTGTTTTGTGATTTGTGCTTGTTGATATCTAGTTTGTAAAACTGCATTTGCCTTCTCAATTTCTACAATAAAAACAGAGTTACTGCGTAAGGAGTATTATTTAAGTCAAGTTCTATCAATAAAGTCTACACTTTAGATTACTCATTCAGACAGAATATTCTTTATTCACTTATGCAGGTATTTTCTATATCACTATTCCTATCAATCAGTTATATTACATACTTCAGTTGAGATTACCGATTCTCAACTGAAGTATTTAATTGTTACATTTTAATATATATCAGTAACTTTACATTTTTTTTTAATCTGTAACGAATCTGATATATTTATCTTTAAAAATCCCATATCTGCACATAATAATTAATTAATAATATTCTTCTTATAAACTCATAGATATTGTTTTTAATTTTTTGCAGTTTTTTCCATTGAGACAAGTTACATTTAAATGCTAAATAAAAAATTCAGAGTTACAAACTCCTCTGTAACCAATACCAACTGTATTGGCTTCTAGTAGTAAGTCTGCCCATTCTTAGGAGCATGACTAAAACTATGACTATGACTAAACCATAAAATTGAAATGAACATAAACTTAACTTTCCTGCTAACGAGGCACCGCCTATCGCTTGTAGCCCTCCATTAGACAAATGCTTTACCAACAAGAGTATGTTTAATCAATTTGTATGTGTATGTAACTGAGATCCTGATTATGCGATGGTATTCACGCTTAGATTAGACGAGATGATGGCTGTATACTCAATCCGCTGTGATATTCGAAAACTTCATAGAACTTGAAATATAAGTATATGTATAAACTTTTTAATTAACAAAATGTTTATAACGAATTAATATAATACAAGAATGAACTTTTAATTGAAATTTGACAATGCGTTAATTTAACTTTCGGATAATACAATCTTTATACGAAAGATTCGAGTCCGAAAAGATTCGGCACGAAGTTGAGGTATCCAGTTTCTATTGAATTTTTATTAAATTATTAATTAACAAAAATTATGTGATTAAATTAATAAAAAAAACATGAACAGTTCTACAGGAGTGCTTTGTTAATTTTCACATCCCCAATCTTCGAAATGACGGAAATATTCACTTAGATTATCCACTATAACAATAACTATAATTTATTACTTTAATGGTCTTTTCAATTACATCACAATCAGAGTTGTACAATATGTTATTAATAAACTCTACTCTAGCTGAAAATACATATTAATTTTAAATGTGTTGAAATATCAATATCCAGTTCAAGCGGGAGTTATAGCGACATCTGTCTGTCATCTTGGCCAACCTACATCCGGGTTGCAAGTCCCGGGAACAGCTCGGAGTTTCCCTCTCTACAACTGGAAGCGGTACCCGCACAGTAAATTTATAAAATACTACGAACTTCGTCTCTTTCTTTATTTGCCGGATATACAGTCCTTAATATATTACATTTAAATAACATACACAACATACATAAATGTATAACAATACGCAGAAGAGCAAACAGTAGTAAAAAATCCAAAAATAAAATTTACTAAACAGTACATTGTTAACACACAAAGTTAATAGTCTATGCCAGATTTGATCTCATGGCCTGTCTGTACCTCGAGATGTTAAACTACTAGGTCACGACGCCCCAAAGCAGCTCTACTTTAAAAATATATACGTAAATGATAAGAAATTTCTCAATATTTTTCTACCATTATCTGATATGGTATTCCTGCATACATAATCCATGCGACTGACTGTTCTTCTTGGAATTAGGCACGTGGATGAATGTATATTTAAGGCTTACGTATTCGTACACGGCCTAAGTAAACTAAGCAAAACATAAACACGACGGGCACTCGACCACTACTTGAAACGACCAGTGTGACGGACAAATGGGCACTCGAAGCGAGTTACTCGAACCACTGGACTGGATTGGTGCAAGTTACAAGCTGAGCGATCAGTTGAGCAGCAGAAAGGAATTGAATATACATAATCTTTACCAAAAAAAAACTGCTACATTTTAAACATTTTTGAATAGGCACATTTTTTTATCCTATAAATAAAATACCAAAACATTTTTTTTTAATATAATTAAAGTATTTCAAAGAGAAAAACTAGATTACTACATACCTATTATCCTAGCGCATACTTCGCATTGCAGTATTTTATTTACATCAAAGTTTTGTTTCTATAGTGATATGAAGATGAAATGCTATATATATTAATTAAATAATAAAAAATAATGTTTAATACAATTTTTTAAGTATTCTGCTATAATGGCTTGTTTAATTACAGCTAAATTTAATTCTTTCGAAATTTAACGCATATTTATTTATATACGAATTATTATAGCTTCGTTAAAAGATGCCCACAATAAAATACGAAAATAATAGTAATGCAAGTTTTTTTTTAATTGTTTCATAAATATTTTGATTTGGATTAAAAAGCCCAATCACTCGTTTTTGTTACTGTAATACTATACGCAAGGAACTCTCTCGCTTCAGCTTATGAATTAGAACATTTAAACTGGCCACTCAACAACGCAGAGAGTAGAGGTACCCATCCCGAATCTATGCCAAACAACGATCGTTGTTCTGAGAGATTGACGTACAACTGCGGGCTGTGTGAGTGTAAATGAGGTTTTTTGTTAACCGTACCTTGTTAGTAGCTCACGTGTCCGCTCCTACATCATTTGTTTACTTTTTACCCTGTTTGCCGTGGTGTAATCCTAAAGCCTGATATTCATGTTAAGAATATATACACGGTGGCGATACAGATGAGTCACTATGGAGATAAAGTCTATTTCTAAATAAGTCTAATGTTCATTATCGTTATATAATAAAATTAGAACAAGCCTGTTTCATGTCTAACGGTGTAACGTAAAAAGGAGGTATTATCATGCAATTTTTACAGAAAATGTTATTAAATATTGATCAATATGTGGGCTATAGAAAGGAAATATAGCTCGCAAAGAGATGAAATAATTACTTTTATGAAGTCTCAATACGCCACCTGTTAATTCATTAGTTGTTTACAAAAAAAAAAACTTTATTGTATTAATTACTTTATTAAAATAATTTATGGTGTCAACATAGTCTCCAGCTTTAGCTGTGTTGTGGTCCACACCGCTTTACTGCTCACTCCCTTTTATTGTTGGTTGTATATTTTTTGTCATTATTGTTGTGTCAAGACGAGTCGATAAAATTATATTCTATTCTACTTGAATAAACATATTTTGATTTTGTCAACAGGCAACGATACTACGAGATGATCAAGCGGGCAAGGCACAATCGAGGGCGGCAGTCACCATGTAACATTGTAACATGAGTCCCAGCAACTTCGCCTTGTACATACACATCACGAGCCTGCTCTGGCTGAGCCTGACTGACGCTAAGATTGGTAAGTTTTAAGTCTGTATTCAAACTGACGACCCAATGATAACCGTTGCTTGTACGTAGATATCACATGTTTTTTATATAGTTATAACTACAATCAAGCTGCAATATACATGGATATCACGTTATCATGTGACGATCTTGATATCACAATCAAAACGAAATACAGCTTGCGAAACTAATATAAATAAACAGATGAATTAATACATAATAATATAATAACAATAACCCAAGACAATACATGTATAATAGAACCATCTAGTACCAAGCTAAACAGAGTTTCTGTGATGGGTACTAGACAACTAAAAGACTTTTTTTTGTAAATAAATACATAATATACGTAGGAACATGCAGACGAATATAAACAATCATACTCATATATACAAATATTTGTATTGTGTAAGGAATCGAAATCGCGACTATCGGAAGGAAGCGGTGTGTTAAACCGCTAAATTTCGCTTTAGTAAACTATAAGTTATTACTTATAATAATTAAAGTAGTATAATATATTTATTAAATATGAATTATACTATATTTAATAAAAATAAACGTTCTTTATAATTTGTAAACTTCGCGGAATCGTTGAAAATGACATTTGTTAATGAAATGCGAGCGGAACAGGTCAAGTAGCGAGACATTGTTCAAGAACTTGAATGTTAATTATTTACAATTGAATTCTGTATAATTGTATTTAAAATTACGCAATTTATAAAGTTTCCATTTAAATGAATGTGAAATAATAACTGTAAATGTGTTTATTAATTGAGTTCACGTAATATAAGGCAATAAAATGTATTAGTAAAATTCATCTATTTGAAACTGGTCTTAGAAATATACTGATTGAAAAAAAATACTCTAGGGTTAGTGATTTCCTGATTGATACATTGATGTAAAGACGATTGATTAACGACTATTTGTATGATGACGTAATGCAGTGATAAAAAATAAATAGTACTAACAGATTGAATTTTTGCTCACATCTCAATTAACGTAATTTACAACATACAACAGACAACATATTGCTTACTTACATTTTGTACATTATTAATACTAATAAAATAATAATACTAATAATACTTTATTATTATTATTAATAATAATATGAAGAGGAAAAGTTTGTTTGTTTGTTTGTATTGAATAGGCGCCAGAACTACTTATCCGATTTGAAAAATTCTTCAAAAAACATTCAAGTGATATTTTGTGACTTTTGTATCTCATTATCCTGAAATTTCACAGCTGTAACAAAACAAACTTATAAGAAACATATATATTGTAATTAGTTTTTTTTAATTTAAAACAATAATTTATCATTTTGTGAGTATTATTTATTTTATTAATTTCTTTATTGAAACTTTTTTCATTTTGTGTACAATGGGCTGTTATTGCTATTAATATTTTCTATAGAGATACTCAAAGTCTATTCATACTGAAATTAATAACCAAACGAGAAGCACTGAATCACTAGCCGGAAATGCCAGGATTGCTATATTCAGAAGCCCTAATATCAGACTACTCGAACAAATACCCCAATAGACTATTGCTATTGAGTAAAAGCAACATATGTATGATGACTAGGGCCCTCACAGGACACTCCAAATTGAAAAAACATACGGCAAACCTAGGCCTATGCACAACAAAAATTTGCAGATTTTATCAAACTGAAGAGGAAACGCCACTACACCTCCCATGTGGTTGTAGCCCACTCATGCATAAACGTAATATCTTCTTTGGAAAGTTTACACTATATCCTGAGTAGATAAAAACGATCGCTCCTAAGAATGTCCTTCAATTCTTGTCCCTGACGAGGTAGCGAACTCTGAAAAATGGTGAGCATAATAGATCTATGTAAGTCGCAGTGCTACAGGTCCAAGCACCTGACTATAGCCCAAACAACCCAATAAAAACAAAAACTCAAAGTCGGTTTAATTTAGCAAATAAACTAAACTACTATTCTAGATAAGTCAGAAGTCATTGCCAAATGTCGGTGTATTCTAATGTAATTCTTGATATGGGTACATTTCACTAGGTATATTTCAAACTTTCATTTCATTTTTAACTGTATAACATAACCGGATTAATTTTCATAATAAGTTTTTTCTCTTATGTCTGCCAGATTCAAACACACTACCTTTGGGGTCTAAGTAAACCACTGAGCAACGACGGTTCAGTGTTATAAATAAATTTTATGTATTCCTACGCAATATCAACTTATCATTGTCGAATGTTAAATCAATGGCTGTCATGAAACTTTGACAGTTCGCAGCCTGTTACAACTGGGGAAGTTGTAACAAGGTTACCTGTTACGTCTTCAGGGAGCGTTGACTGATCGCTACCTCTTGTAGTTGTGTGACTGATTATCATCTATTTGTTACGATATTTTCGTTATGATAGAAATAGAATTCCGTTCAACTATTTTTATCGGTGCGAACTATTTCTCTCTAAACTTTTTTAATACAATATATAACTACTACTACTACTAATATAATATATATAAGAGGCAATATTTAATTTTGTTTGTTTATATTGGATAAACTCAAAATATATTTGAACGATTTTATATACTTCTTGACCTGTAGATATATATTATCTACGAGTAATATAGGATGTATTCAATGCAGGCAGCAACGCGAGATGCTTTTAGATTAGTTGAAAATAAAATGTAAGTATAAATTATGAATGATACAATTATGAATGAAATTAACGAAGAGAAGAATAATAAAATTGGGAATAGACATAGCAGAATTGTAGATTATTTTTACATAACTGAACTAGTACCAAGCTCGTCAGCTGATGCTAAATCCTTAGTCTACTCGTTGGTAAGTGGTAGCCATCGATTATATATGTAAAGTGCGATAAAGTCATGAATTACCATTCCAGAGAACTAAGACGTCATGCCTCTTGTCCAGTAATTTCACAGTTTAATCGCACCCTACAACTAAAATACAGCTTAGAAAGAAGCAGCTAAGCGGCTGATATATACTGACGGAATGGATGGATGATGATGATGATCTGCATACATTAACGATTTTGTACAAAGTTTACCTCGTATAATATGTGTAAAGATCGCCATGGAAAACCAATAGTAAAGTATTTTTTTCTCATAAATAATAATGGAATGGAACTCCCGCCTGCGCTGATGGTTTACGCTGGTGGGGCACCAGTGGAGGATGATAAGATGAGCATAAGGTCACATCAGTTTGCTCATCGTGGTAAAGTTACCATGAATTTATCATGATATTTACAAGGGGAAATACGTGGAGGTGAACTTGATATGGTACATTGCTAGCAATGGGGTTATTCCCCCCACTAGTAAAGTATTAATTACACAAAGAAGTAGGGTTGTGTGAAGACAATAATAAAAGTATTATTGGCTTAATCATTGTAATCTGAAGGACTTTTAGTAAGCCCAAAAAGTAATTATCTGGGTACCTTTTTATAATGTTTAAGTACCAAATGAGTAAGCATTATTATTTAATCCGAGTTTATCCGGATCACCCCGGTAAAAGGGTCAACATCCCTGCGCGCTGACTTTAAATGGTTCTGTCGGGAATTCTGTTATTTAAATCCATATATGTATGTATGCCTACATGTATGGAATTATATGTAGGGTATGTAGGTAATCCTCTCAACTGATGTAAGGGTTTTGTGAATTAATTCTGATGCTTCAAGTCTGTTTTGAATATTTTATTGATTATGAAAATTAGTATAAACTTGTACACCTATAAGTATAAGAAAAAACATATATTATTTTATAGACTTAAAAAAATTATACTCGATTTATGTTACGGCGGGCGATATCGAAGTTTTATAAATCTATTTTATTAATTCAAAGAATGTATAGTGAAATAAAATAGTTTAATTATAAATAATGAACGAATAAGACTGAATAAAAATACATTAATTGTTATTACAATGAGGTGAAAACAAAGGTACAATATTATCGGTAATTCGGTCTTTTAAGTATTGGTGTCGGGTAATTCATACACAGCAATTTACTAGGTGTTACACTATGGTATCTCTGGTAAAATGTAATTTTTCCAACTATTTTATAAGTACTAGGTTAGAAAATAGCTAGCCTTTCTCACATACTCAGATTGTGGAATGAACTTGGCAGGGATGCCGAGGTTTCTCTAGAGATTACTGCTTGAGATTTTCCAAAAAGAGTATATTAATATTTCTCAAAGGTCGGCAACGCGCGTTAGATGCATGTATGCACTTATTTTAGGCATCTATATACAACGAACCGCTTACTATCAGATAGGCCGTATGCTAATTTGCTACCACTGTTGTATAAAAAATATCTGTTATTGTATATATGACAATATTCTCTGCATTTAACATCTCGTTTGGAGCACTGTATATATAAAGACGTAACTAAAGTAGGCAAGCTTGTAATCAGAATCAAAGAAAATTTTTACTTTAGTGACACAATTAAAAGTAGCTTATTACCTTTCCGGGACCATTTCTATGTAAGTAAGTTAGTAGTGATTACGACTTTTAATCCAGATAAGATAATAGGAAGCGTTGTCAAGTATCAATGTTGTTGTAAACCCAACTACATACCTACATTTCGCAAGATATATTTTTAATCTAACGAGGCATAAGGAAAATCCACTCAGTCTCTCGGTTTATTTTTTAAGGTTTAATATCACTTATTAATGATGACGATAATTTTTATTTATTTATTTATTTTTCCACACTTACATTTTTACGTGGTCTTTTTACAATATTGCAGCAAACATTATTTTTGAAATTAATTGTAACTTATAATAAATAATTAGTCATATTATATTATATATGATATATATGTATATATGTATTTCTACGGAGGCGACAATTATTAATCGTAATCAAAATTTTATTATCATTCGCCTTTTATCAAATCTAAACATAATTTGCAAACTTCACAGGAATAGAATATAAAATATTTACACAATGATTCGCACCTTCTCGGAATTCACGTTAACAAAATATAAATATCATTCTTTCTAATTGCATATATTCAAATTACAAATTATATTCCTATTGGTTTACGTAATTGTTAACAATTATTATTTATTACATGCTTCATTATATAAATTACACTGTAGATTCCATCAAAAGCCAAATAGTAATTCATACAACCCAATTAATTTAATTAAATATTTAGTTTCGAAATTGTCTCCCCAAGGGATGTAACATTTACTAAATTCATATTTTGTTCGCAGGATACTTCTGGCATATAACTGATCTTCATTATGACCCATTCCACAATTCCCCGGAGTTCCATAGAGGTAAGGTCACTTTACGTCTGAATTTATCTTTATTTTCGCACTTGCTAAGCCAGGACCTAGCATAATTGTGATATATTCTGCTATGAAATTGTGAATTTTATGTAGTTGTTGTTAACTGTTAAGTATTTCGTCGGAAATTAGAGATACGAAATTATATTTCATTGTCCTATAATTTCATTGTTTATTAAGTATAGGTATGTATATATGAGTATATAAAGTGTATTGTATACAAATATATATGTAAGTAGTAATTTATTATTTGCTATGCCTTTTTTATTTCTCTAGTCTATTCTTGTGCCATCTACCACTTTATCTCTTCTTTCCTATGCCCAAAGGTTGTCTGGAAAAGATTGCTTACGTGTAAGACCGCCTTTTGTGCCTTATTACTTACTATCTGTTAATGTTCTTTATATTATATATGTTTATCTATAACGATACATACTTGTGGTGCAATGTAGAGTAAATTAAGAAATAAATGCCATATTCTATTTTATTTTCTTTAGCTAAATCACTGAAACCTGTTATTGGTTTTCTCTAGATATGTACTCTTGAGTTAATGTATTAGATTATAAGCTATTAGTTTTCTAATAAAAAAATAAGTAATCTATTCATTTCATATTTAATATACTTTATTTATATTAACCGACTCTTATCACTAATAAATTTATAGCAAATAAAGATATTTGCCTCTCTCGACGTTTCGACTATATTGCACTAGCTGTGGTCACGAGTAGACTGCATTATCATCGATGTCAGTCTAGATAGGTGCTAGCAGTTTTATTTTCTACCGTCACTAGTTTATCCAAAGAAAGTTTTGAATGAGCGGTAGCATCAAAAAAATGTGACTATTCAAAAGTGCATATATTAAGTTTATTTGAATTCTTATTTCTATTCTTATGTTAGGGTGTCGACACAACCGCGGCAACAGTGAACACAATCATAGAAATGGACGTCATAGGGACCACACATGCGACAGCTCATGGTCCCTGATACAGAGTGCTGCAGCCCTGATGGCTGAGCGACATCCTGATACGTTGGAATTCGTGCTTTGGACTGGGTCAGTATTATTCAATAAAAAATATATATATTAATACACTATTGGTTGAGTTTCTTGCTTGGCAGTTTGTCTGTAAAATGTTGTGAGCTATTCATAAGTTTCTTTTGTATCGTTCAACAAATAATTCAATTTATTTTTTAGTCGATTCCAATCCAATCAAATAAAAAAATAATTTATTCATATATGTAGAACGTTTTAGCCCATTAGAAACGACAATTTACTATTTTTTTCGCTGCCGTCCAGTTCAGTTGTAGGTATACAGACTTTATTGAGAAGAACTGGCACTCAGCTAAATTTCTTTTGTTTCTTTAATTAATTAAGTACTAGCTACTCGCCCCGGCTTCACACGTATTATATGTAAGGTTTTTTTTTTACAAGAAGGTTTATGGGTTTTTCAAGAGGAAGGTTTATGTGTATAAACATATAAAGCTTCGTTTTGAATCACTCTATCTATTTAAAAAAAACACTTCAAAATCCGTAGCGTAGTTTTAAACATTTAAGCATACATAGGGACGGACAGACAGACAGTAACAGCATTTTATATGTAACGATGTGTATTTTAAAAGGTTTCTTATACTGCAGGGATATACTGTCATCATCTCTGGAACACGTAAGCGACGAGTTCAAACTGGAAGCCGTAAGAAATGTCACCGATATACTTAGTAGGACATTCAGCAGCCAATTTGTCTTCCCAGCGCTGGGCCACAATGATCCGCCACCTTCGAGAAAGCTTGTAGATATGTGGATGCAGTGGCTCCCTACTGAAGCCTTACAGACATTTGAGACTGGTGAGCAATGTTTATTTGTCATACTAGTTGAATCCCGTGACACTACCCGTGTAAAATATGTCCCTGTGTACTCGTTGACAATATAAAAGTCTGTTGATAAAATAATATAACTCTGTAAAATATTTGATAGATATATTCCATATAAAGATTAAGTGTTTCACGATGCAGTATCTAATAGGTATCTAAGTGGCTACAATAAAATATTTAAGACAGAGGCAAAATATGTATACACAAAAAAAACAGTCTATTTTGTCTTAATTATGTTTCTATTCTAAATGAAGTTCAGAAGAAGAGAATGAGAGAATTCAAAAGAAGAATGAAGAGAAGAAGTACAGTTTATATTGTATTATAAACAGTTTTTAGTCTAAATTAAAGTACAATACAAAAAACATTTATATGGACAAAATATAAACAAACGAAATGTAAATCTATTTAGTCGAGATTCATTCTCAAACAAATAGCACTGTATAACAATACAAACTTTTTTCGGTTAAATTGAATGTAGGATATGTAAAATAGAGTGATAAAATCTATACATATAAATAAAATTGTAGTGTCTGTTTGTTATATTAAAATAACCATTTTTTACTACATGCATATGAATATAAATACGGTACATACTCCAAAATAACATTTTTTTACAATTTTTTTCTGTCTGTTTGTTTGTTCCGGCTAATTTCTAAAATGGCTGGACCGATTTTGACGAGAATTTTTTGCAGGTAGCTGATGTAATAAGGTTATAATATAAGTAACATAGGCCTCTTCTATTTTAGAAAAAATATTTTATTTTAGAAAAATAAAGTTAAATTCCACGCGGACGAAGTCACGGTAACAGCTATTATACTATATAAACTGTGACTGTCCAGTCTAACATTCCGGCTACTGTCCAAATATAAGTACAAATAGAATAGCAAGGTCAATAATGTTTTAACGTTAAAAAAGATTAAAAACACGACATAAAATTTAAAAAAGACGACTTATGTTGTCTACCTTTTGCTTTACCATAAACAGTTAAAGTGTATACACTAAGCTGTTACATAATACTATTTGTAATGCCAATTTAAGCTTTATTTTAATTTTAAGAAACACCCTTTTAGCTTAAACTTAAAGACATTGCATCACAGCTTGCTGAAGCGGCGAATATCGGTTGATCGCGTCCCATTTTCTCAGTAACAAAAAACAAGTGAAAAGCTTTTACTCTGTATTATATTGGGTCTTTTAAAGTACATTAACGTTATATTGGTAACATTTGGAAGGTCTTTTTGTCTTGTAAAGCGATAATGACAGTTTTGTAACACATATTGAATCGGTTAAGGACTTTTTAAATTATATTCGTAGTTTTATTCCTGTTTATGATTATACTTATATTTCGTAACTTACTATGGGTATTTCTTATTTGTGTTTGAGTGGGTGTGTTTGAGTTAGTATATTATATTATCTGTGGTATAACTAATAGGACAGTTTTGCCAGATTGTACATTTTGTGCAAGTTTTTATTCGAAGCTTGGATATTTCTACAGTTCACAGCAGTGAAATAATAAAATATAGGGGCCTAATAATTTTACAAAATGGCCTTACATTACTAGTTAGTCTAAGCGTAGCATACTTTACTCTACGATTTTTTTTTATTAATAATTTTTGTAAGACTCTCTACATATGTATAGGCGACTTTCTTCGATCATGTAGGCTCTCAGCTTGTTTTCCGTTTTTGTTCATCCAATGACATCTAAAGTGTCGTGATAAGTCCTTATTTTTTTATAGGTGGATATTATACAATAGAGCAGTCTCATAGCAAGTTATGTATAGTGGTGCTGAACAGCGTGCTGTGGGCAGGTGGTGCGGCCAGGAATGATAACCCCCACCATCACAGAGCTCGTGCTCAATGGGAGTGGCTTGAGAAGGTCCTCAGCAAAGCTAGGAGGAAAAAGGAAATGGTAGGTTTCATATTTATCGGGTAACTTGCCTTCCACTGTGCCTGACAGTTTTATCTAATAATATCCTAGGATAAATCACATAGCGCCACCTAGTCTCAAGAAAGTAGAGCTTGTGTTATGGCTATTATATATAAGTACATAGATACATTTTTTTTGTATATACATACATAATATAAATATAAAACACTCAGACCTTTACAAACAGTCATAATCATTAATACAAATATTTGTACAGTGCTATAGGAATCGGACACCGCGACCATCAGAAGTAAGATGGTGTGCTAAACCACTAATCCAACGAGGCTGTCAATAATAGTTATTATAATTATTTTTAGTTGCTTCATCTTTCAATAGTAAGTTTTGTGCCGTACAAATTAATATTCCAATGTGTATATTTAATAACTACTTTCAGACTATTTCATGAAAGTATTGTATAATTTCGATTATATATTTATTATTGTCATTAAGTCTTTAACGATAATAAAAACTTAGTAACATGCAGAGTTATAATTTAAATTAGTTATGGTCGAATTTCGGCCATTTGTATAAATTTAAAGCCTCAATTCAGTAATTTAATCAGCGACCGACGGAAGTAATGTTGTGTGCTAAACCCCTAAACAACAAACTCACAATCATATTAAATTAGTTTCTATTATTTTAAGGTATACCTAGTAGCACATGCTGGTCCAGGAGTGGAGGAACGGCACAACGCTGGCAGTTCATCAGCTGCTGGTGGTGGGGAATTAACCCCTAATGCAAATGGAAGACTGTTGCACGTGATTAGAACCTATAGCGATGTGATAGCCGGACAGTTCTATGGTCACCGGCACGCTGATACATTCCGGCTCATATATAGTGATGGTAAATATAATAATATCTCAGGGCAATTCATACAGCGCCCTCTAGTCGCAAGCTAAGCGGAGCTTGTGTTATGAGTACTCACTACGAGTACTCACCAACACGCCGACACATTCCGGCTTATAAATAGTAATGGTAAATATAATATCTCACGACGCCATCTTACTTAGTTCTAAGCTAAGCCAAGCTTGTGTTATAAGTATTCACCAACTCGCCGATACATTCCAGCTTATAAATAGTAATGGTAAATATAATATCTCACGACGCCATCTTATTTAGTTCTAAGCTAAGCCAAGCTTGTGTTATAAGTATTCACCAACTCGCCGATACATTCCGGCTTATAAATAGTAATGGTTTATTATTCCGAAATTATGCATAAATTCAAAAGAATTGTATTTGAGAAATGGAAAACCCATTTTGATAGTATATCTCATTCTAAGGGCATTTGGTACAAAACAATACAGAAAGAACCTCCCCGGGTGCCTTGGTGCAATTATGTGAAGGGTACACGTTCTTACATTGTAAAAATGCATAGACTCCGTTCTGGACATTATCCATCGGCAAAGTTTGCATACCTGATGAAAAAAGCAATTCACAAAATTGTGAAGTATGTGGTACAATAGAGGATGTTTATCATTTGCTGATGGAGTGTGTCAGGAACGAGAGTCTACGACATGGAATAACGTCAGACCATGAAATAAATATATTAGATGTTGGTGCCATACAAACTGTTTTAGCCGATCCTTCGGGCGATGCGGCTAAGGCAATTTGTTCACTGGTGAGGTAATGGAGTGATTGGTTTTAGGGTACAATGGGACTGACATGTACTTAGATGGTACAAAAGTATATCTTATTTAGTTCTAAGCTAAGCCAAGCTTGTGTTATAAGTATTCACCAACTCGCCGATACATTCCGGCTTATAAATAGTAATGGTAAATATAATATCTCACGACGCCATCTTATTTAGTTCTAAGCTAAGCCAAGCTTGTGTTATAAGTATTCACCAACTCGCCGATACATTCCGGCTTATAAATAGTAATGGTAAATATAATATCTCACGACGCCATCTTATTTAGTTCTAAGCTAAGCCAAGCTTGTGTTATAAGTATTCACCAACTCGCCGATACATTCCGGCTTATAAATAGTAATGGTAAATATAATATCTCACGACGCCATCTTATTTAGTTCTAAGCTAAGCCAAGCTTGTGTTATAAGTATTCACCAACTCGCCGATATAAATATATATTCACTACAATTCACACAGCGACATCTGGTTCTAAGCTAAGCAGAGCATGTGTTACGAGTTCTAGACAACTGATATAAATATATATTATACTAGACATATTTTTATTATACATAAAGTACACATAGATATATTTTTTTTGTAAATATTTATCATACTCATGAATACAAATAGAAATTTGTATTGAACGAAGAATCGAACACGCAACCATCGGAAACTGCCGAGGAAGTCAAATTATTTGTTTGTTTAATTAGCTAGTTAATTACTCCACAGTTTTACCCGGAATCAATTATTTATTTGTTTAATTAGATAGTTAATTACAGCGCGGTTTTAGCCGGAGTCCGATTTCAAAAAGAAATGGCGAGTGTCTTTGGTTCCAAGTTGATACAATCGCATAATATCACCTGTTCGCATTATTAAATAGTTTTCGCATAGCATTTGTTCCAATTTATTTCTTTTAATTGTTATTAATTATGAAATTTAGGCTACTATGCCCATATTATAAATACATTATAGACTAACATACATAGGAATTAATATTTACTTTAATATAATATTATTATACACACACAGAATCAACTTCAATATATTAGTCCATACCATGAGGTATTGATTTCGGTAATTTGCCACGGTAGCGGCTATACACCACCCCCTTCGGGGGTTGTAATAAAAATTGTAGTATGATGTTAAATAGTTTATAAATATTTTAGAAGCATATTTTATTATAATAGGATTTAGATTTAAAAGGAATTATCAAACTCGACATTGTGATCGTGAAGTGTGAACAACATTTGACATCTACTCACCCACAATTATCATCAATCATTAATTTATTCATTTGTTACCGGTGTTTCCATTAATCCAATAATCAATATATTGTTAGATAAAGTTTTTGGTGTCGGCCTTTAACTAGTAGGCTCAGTAAAGCCTTGATCTCACGACCTTACTGCATCAGAAGGCAACGACATTTTCATTGAATAATATCAATTTAATTTTCTACTTGGTATTTGTGTATATTCAAGATTGAGTCTAAAAGCTAAAAAGTTGCGATTCAATTCCGTAGTCCCGTTCTTAAATTTATCACCAGTAAATTTTACGTTGAATACTCACGAGGGGACTAAAACCACTTTATATAATTAATACTCTGCCGTTTTCGATGCCGTTCATTATTTAACAGTTATTTATTTACTTCATTGTTTATCTCATTGTGGAAATGATTCATTACTACGGTTACTATATTTTGAAGTATATATTTTTTTTGTCTTTTATATACCTGTGCCCGCGGTTTTGCTCACGTGAAAATTACAGCCTATTTTCTAATGTATAAAGCTATATTATTGTAAAGTTCCATTAAATTCTGTAAGAAGTTTGTTACTTTTTACGTGAAAGTGTATCAAACTTCTATCTCTATCATGCATAGTCACAAACTATCGCGTTTATAATATTAATCAGATATTTGGTATCTCTTAATGTTATTAAAATGATTCAAATTATCTTACTTTTATATTTATGTAAACATCACTCACGCTTAATAAATAACCCATAAAGTCCCAATAAAAAAATATGATCCATGTTTATTACAAATTTTCTTACTCCTACACTTATAATAAAACGAATAAACACCTATTAAAAAAAAACACCCTCTAATAGCATTCTTTATTTAAATATTGTTAATAAATAAAACTTAGAACCATCTGATTTATGGCTAATGGCACACACATGAAACACACCGCCGGAGACAAAAGAAGAAGAAAAAAATCTGATTAAAAAAAAATTAATAATACATAACTTTAATACCGTTCTAATTTTAAATATAGTTCCGCATACAATAACGATGTTATACGGTCGGTGGTTCGTTAACGAATGAAAGAAGTTTCTAAAGTATGCAACAATTAGATTTCTTCGTCGTCTTCGAAAGTATGCATTGTCAATCAAAAGTACACATTTTGTATGCAGTGGTTCGTTTTTAAATATATAAGAAATATAGTATAATGGAAATAATATTAATCTGAATAATATAAACGTGAAAAATTGTAAGTATTGACGTTTGTTACTATTTCATGCAAAAACTACTAAACGGATTTTGACGAAACTTTACAATAATATAGCTTAAGCATTAGAGTAACACATGGCTATATTTTTTATTACAACTAACGCGGATGAAACCGCGGGCACTGCGAGTAATATATAATTGTACAATAAAGACAGGTTATTTAATTACAAAAATCATTATACACTGGTGTGTTTTGTTTACCTAGTCTCCACTTACGCCATTCTCGAGTGGAAAAAGTACAAGTATACATATGATCAAACGAACTTGTAAGTGAAGTTCGATCACTATTATATAAACTCGGTTCTTTCGAAGATCTAAATACCCTCCCTTACCATAAACCCTTAAAATTTCTAAAATTTATACAACCTCTAAAGAAACGAGTATTTACGTCACATACAAAACACGTAAATATCAAATTCTAATTGACTATATTTGCAGGTCAACCTGTATCTTGGGCATTACTAGCGCCATCTGTAACACCCCGAGGCGCCGGAAGTATTTCAAATCCAGGACTGAGACTTTATAAATTCGATTCAAACTCTGGAAAGGTAATTTTATAACATTTTATACTTTATAAGTCAGAGCAATATTACGAAACTAATTTTATATGTAATTTTACTAGGAATCTAAATTTAAAAATTTCAATTAGTGTTACTTAATTTTAAACTTCTTTCACGGTAGTTTATAATTGTACACATTGTGATATAAACGAGATATTTAGAATAGAATAGAATAGAAAATCATTTATCCAAATAAACTTAATTTAAGCACTTTTGAATACTCATAACAATTTGTTTTTTATCGACCACTCGTTCGGAAAGCTGTCTCATCACAAGAAGAACGAGCAAGAAACTTGTGTGTTACTTTTTTAAATAATCCTTGTAAGTTTACATTTACAAGTCGAAACGTGTGAATACAAACTACCAACAAGCACAAATTTTTTGGGTCAAATATAAATATGCAATGAGATTAAATCAGTCGTAGTGATAAGAGCAGACCAGTCCCTACAAGCAACTCGTTCACGAGTATGACGGATGGGCCAGCCATCACTGCGCTCGACCATATTTTAAGGAGCTCAATGGCCCAATTTATCTTGAATATATTATTTATGAGTTACCGATATTAGACGTTGTTATAAGTATCTTGATCAAGAGTATAAATAACGTCACCTTAAAAACATAGGCTAGTTCGGTAAGAAAAACTATATCTCGTTTCATTTCTTTCTTTCTGTAACTCGTTACGTTTTCATTTTTAAATGCAACGATATTTGCAGTAACCAATTATCAGTTTTTCTTGCTTCAAACTTTTTGAACTGACGTTTTATTTCACTTATCATAAGTGTCTGATAGTTAGACCTATAGAAATAAATGTGGTTTATTTAAATTCTAATTTGATTTATGAATCTGTGAAGTAAACTAGAATTGATGTGACATACTATCAAAAATGTGTTTTTACATAATAATAATAATCTTTAATAATTTATGCTTTAAATATATGTTACGAACTGTTTTACATACCTTTTTGATTGTCTATGTTTTTTTTATAATAAACGGCAATCGAAAGACCAAAATGTAAAAGGAGATCAAAGACGAGAATGCGATGAGAGTTTTTTTTTAGATAAATAATGTCCACGCGGACGAAGTCGCGGGAATAATAAAAAAGGTATATAAAACAGTTCACAAGTATTTATTGTAAATTTCTCTTATTTTAGGTTTTAGACTACACGCAGTATTATTTAGATGTAACAAATAACCGAGGGGAGCTACATTGGTCTATAGAATATAACCTGACGCAGTATTATGGGCTCAGGGAAGTAAGCGCAACTTCATTAGACGCGTTGGCGGAGAGGATAAGAAATTATCATGATAGAGGAATATTTGCAAAGTAAGTACCTTCTAAAAACATGTTCCCTCTTATGAATAATACATGTAACAGATATAGGAATGGAATGTTTCTACCAGATTCGTTTAAATGTAATAAAGAAAAAGTCAAGTGAAGATAAAACACCGTGTGTAATTACAGTGATGCTTTTCTCCTGTGAATACTCACATATGTGAGTGACGAAATTATTATCATTTTTCAGAAATCGATATAAGAATTATTATTGAATAAATTATTCCATGAAATATGCTATTTAACATTTGTATTATTATTGTTATATTATAATTAATGAGTTATATTTCAAGTTAATTTCATTGTAATATGGAAATATATGATAGATTTTAACTGCGTTAGAAAATTATTTCAAGTTTTTCAAATATTCACAATCGATAGTCAATTTCTTTTTATGTGATTAGAATGGCTAACAAGTTATCTGTCCATCTAATGGTAAGTGGTAGCTGTCGCCTATACATATGAATATGAATGTGAACATCACGTTATCACGTGACATCAGTGTTACCACTCATGCGATACCATTTCGGACGACTAAGATTTTATATCTCCATATTCTGTACTTGGTATTGTTCAACCAAAACACCGCTTACAAAGTAAATGCTTTGCTGATAAAATAGATGAGAATATGCACTCACTCAAATGATTTTACGAAGTCTACCTCGGTATAAATAACTTTTAATATTGTCTCATTTATTATGATCAAATTTACATTTTCTATTAATAATAAAATATTACTCGCCAGGTATTTAACAGCACTGCGCGTGCGACTTTCAACAGACGTATCAGATTGCGACGCAGCATGTGTATACGTACATTATTGTGCAATCACCCGTGCAGACTATAACGATTTCCGCATGTGCGTGCGCAATCCTGCATCGGCGCTTGCGTCCCGTGCCCCTCACAACTCCGCTGCCATTATTCTTTACGCCATCTTGATTTTAATATCCTCATAATTTGTAAAATCATATTTTGGTGCTGCATCTATCAACTGGAAATTAATTTAACCTATTTTAGAATCTTGATAGTTTTCTAATTTAAATAAAGAATCATTAATTTATGAACCTCTCATTTTGATATTGTCATAATTTGCAATATGAAATTGTGTTTTCAAAAATAGAACTGAGTTTTAATTGTAATTTCGTGTTAATTGACATATGAGTAATTGTATTTAAATTAAGAACTATTGGTTTACAATCTGTTAATTTAATTTTAATATTCTTATTGTGTTTTGTCGTTAAATGTTTATATTTAGTTTTGTATTAAAAAAAAAGAACTCAAAATTAATTTCCAATCCCTGAAAAGAAACGTAAGTGATTCGTTTTTGTATTTTAATTGATATTTTGCAACGTCATATCTATGTATGTAAGTTATATTGTTTAAATTTCCTTCTTTTTCTGTGCTAATATATGTTTTGAAATATTGTAACAAAATAAGAATATCTCGTTTTTTTATATAGGACATATTGGGTGTAGTGACATATCTTAAACATAGGCCAATATCAAAATTGTTTTATATTAATTTTAAGTAGACGTAAATGTACATAATGTATAAATATACTAGTTAATTATTAAAGGAATATTTAGAAAAAATGTGGCAAGTTTTTGTTCTGTAGTCTATTTTATTGTGTTAACCTATAATTGGGGAATATTATAATCGAAACAGCCTCATTATAATCATGTAATTATGTAACAGATATTCAATAGTTTACTTTATACCTACTGTGAAAAATTGAAGCTTTAATTTTGATAATTCCATTTTTAATTATATCTCAAGCTTAATAATAAACTGTATTAATATTAAAAAAATATTTTAAAATTTCGACTTTAAAACAATTACTTTAAAGTCGGTTTCCAATTCTTATTTTTTCTAAAGTTGTTTATTATTGAACATGTGATATGTTAGCATATTGTTGGTGTATTCTATTTATTGATTAGTTGGGAATTCTCGTCGCTAATTTGATTGTGATAATTATACATAATAATATTATAAGTCTTGTATATAAAGGTAACTACGTAAGCGAACTGAAATTCAATGTAACTAATAAAATGCAAAATTTTAAGGTAAATGTGTTTTATTTTATTATAGTATTAATTTCTAAAAACCAAAGTACCGAAGGCAAATAAAATAACAGTTTTCTAAGAGTTTTTTTAGAGATACGTTAGAAATAGTAGATGTATATAGCATTAAAAGAAATTATCGTAATCGGTTCAACAAAACATGAAATATAATAAATACCATATAAGTATTATATGCAATAAATACCTTAAAGTAATTACTTTGACCTCTTTATTGTACGTAGTTCAGTAGACCACAGAGATTTTAGTAAACTGAACGTCTAAGTGTTTTATAAACATACAGTCAAAAAAATCAGATTATATAAATTTTTCCACTAGACTTCCATATACAGTGTACGATAGTGTTATTTTAAAACTTTCATGCAAAAAGAGAAAGAAAACTAAAAAAATGCTATCAAAATCTGTTCATTCCTTTAGGAGCTTCGATGTCAAACTCTGTTATAGGTTTAATTGAGTCGAACTTATGATATAATGAACGGATGAACCGATTTTCATGCGCCGTTTTTATTGAAGAGTTAACGTGATCGAAATGCCTTTTTTAGGTTTCAAATTGTATAGTTCAATGCAAGAGTATAAGAATTATCAGCTTTAAATTTCTGAGTAACATTATTGTTATCACTATGGTAGTAATCATTAATCTTTTTTAATTTTATTATTTGTTTAAATTTTGTATAACGAAAATATAAATTGCTACAGTTTAAAGCAGCGACAAAAATCTGATATATAAAATAAAAAACAAAACACTATAGTGAAGAACATAAAAATACGAGATTGTACGTAGAAATAAGAGTCATCCAATTTGTTCAAGTCTCATTATTATAGACATACATACACTGCAGATAGATAGATTGAAGACTAACACTGTCAATTTGAAAGTACACGATAGTTCAGTTCAGATACTCGCTGACGAAACAGAATGAAAAGAATAGAATAGTCAAGTCGCTTCGACAAAGGATTTCCAAGTTAATTGGCATCTGAATTGAACAACTTGTCTGGAAAGTGGAGAACCCAAACTATTGATGGAGCATGGAAATCATTATCATTCAGCTTTTATAATGATATATAAAGAAAACGTTGTTTTGGCATATAAATTAAAAACGTTATTAAAAATAGGGGTTGATGAAGTAGAATGTAAAGAAATGATGTAGAATGATGAAAATTGAGGGTTACAAGTATTTTCTAATGACGAATCATTACATAAATAGCAAAATAAAAAAAAATTAGTGGTAATAGTGGTAAAAAAAAATTGCACTCTCATCTTTGAAGCCGTTCAGACTTCGCTAGGTCTGAGGAACGGCTTCTTATAATATATAGATTATTTAATTAAATAATATCGGTAAAGGCGTTTTACAGGAGCTTGGTAACAAAATATCGCGACACGGGAATTTTATGTATTACAGGTACATTTTTTCGCTGTGTTATCCTTGTTTTTATTTTATTGTTGTTTGTTACTGAAATTTTAATGATTCTTTTATTTTACAATTTAAACAATAATTTGTATTGCCTCCTACACGTATGTCATCTTTATAGAGACGTTATTAATGTGATATCAGATCAAAATTAGAATTCTTATATTTTTTTATAATTGAATATTTCATCTGTAATGCTAATAAAATTATTTGCCATTACTGACATTTACTACCACAGATTATCAAAGCTGTTACATTTTTGTTATTTTGTTACTATAACAGATGCAATTTTTTATTCTACAACGGTAGCAATCAAGTATATGGCGCATCTGATGGCAAACTATTAAATTTTTTATATAATAATAACTAATATAATATTTCTCTCTTAATAACAATAAAAGATTGCTAACTTATCTTTAATCAAATATTTTACTTATATTCCATTACAAAATTGCAGAATAACAAATATTTCATAGCATTGTTATACAAACATAATAAGTATATTCTCAAGGTGTAAATATCGCAAATATTAGAATATGGGGATATATTTGGCCAATATCCAAAAGCAAGGTTCATATCCGCATTTTCATAAGAATAATATTCGCGTTTTCTAAGGGCTCTCTTAGCATTACTAATATCAGGGGTGCTTCTAAAACGCCCGAGAGAAGTGGGTCGTCTCCATACTTTTTCTAAAAGCTGCAAATGTGTCACCAATGTATCGAGACCTTTCCATCTCTCCCTATACCACAATGAAGGGGAACACGAAAGAGTGTTTTGATTCACCGAGGGAGGTCAAGTGTTGCCGGTCGTGTATAGGTAGTTTATGTCGTGTGAATACGTCTCGATATACGAACGAATGGGTCACATAGTGGTAAAATGCCAGTAAGCATTTGTGAATAAGAAAAGGGAATTGTGAAAAGAAACATAACATGAATAGCTTTTGTCCTTTTGGACTGAAACTTTCTAGTTCCCTCTTACTTTGGAAAAGGTCAATATTTCTTCTCTTTGTTTTTGTTATTTTGATTATAATATCGCCTTGAACTAGTATTAAACACTATTAAACACTTTTTAATTCAAACTTTTCATTATTATTATATTTAATAATAATAACCCTGGACAATTTACACATGGCCATCTAGACCCAAGTTAAGCTAACTAAAACTTGTATTAATTTAATAATAATAACCCTGAATACAGCGCCATCTAGACCCAAGTTAAGCTAACTAAAACTTGTATTATGGGCACTGGATAACTGACACAAATACATATTTATTATATTTTCGTAAATCCATTCATAATATACATAGAAAATTCCTAGACCGATACGTACAATCATACTCATAAATACAAACGTTTGTGCGGTGCAAGAAACCGAACCCGCAACCATCGGAAGTAAGGCGGTGTACTAAACCACTAGACCACCGAGGTTAATATATATGCTTAATATTTTTTCATCTTTATCAGTAGAATATGTATGTATATAAACGAATATCTAATTAGCTTTCAATGTTTGTGTTACTAATTCTGAATTTACACAAGCGTCCTAAATAAACTAAGCCATCTACAATTCATCAAAATCTCATCAGTTATAACACATTCGTAAAGAGTAACGAATAAATGAATGTATTATATTGCTTCATGAAATATAAGATAAGCAAATTTATAATTTACTAGATATTCCCGCGACTTCGTCCGCGTGGAATTTAACTTTATTTTTCTAAAATAAAAATAGTCTAAGTTACTCCTTATTATATCAGCTACCTGCCAAAAATAGTCCCGTCAAAATCGGTCCAGCCATTTCAGAGATTAGCCGGAACAAACAGGCAGACAGACAGACAAAAATTGTAAAAAATATTATTTTGTTTTATGTACCGTATTTATATTCAAATGCATGTAGTAAATAACGGTTATTTCAATATTACAAATAGACACTCCAATTTTATTTATATGTATGTATAGATTAGTCTCAACACGATTAAGTTCTAGACTCTATGAATAAATAAAATTCATCTAAATTCGCTATTAGCTCCTTATCTGTTCAATTAGGCGGATGATACTATATTTAGGCTAATCTACTTGTACTTAGTTTAATTTTAGATATGTCTAGGCGTTATGTTTCTATATTACCAATTATCTTAAAATATAATTATTGCCTATAATTATTGTAAATAAGTTATATTTCAGTGTACGTAAAGTCTTCTTCGATATTATAGCATTTTTTGGAAGGATTTCTCCTCGTGTTAATTCAATATGTTTTATCAACATAAAGTTATTTTTATTAAATCTTCTCCATTTTAACAGAACTAACTGATCTCAATGGGATGATATTCTTATCTCGGAGTAACCGTAGGGATGTTCCCAGTAATCCATTTACATTTATATTACTTCTCTGAAATAATGTTATATAATTTAAAATAATAGTTTTAATAACATCTCAGGACAAATTCATACAGCGACATCTAAAACCAAGTTAAACAGAGCTTGTGTTATGGGTACTAGAAACTGATATAATTACATAAATTCTTTTTTTTGTAAATACATACATAGAAACCATCCAGACCGATACAAACAATCATACTTGCTAATACAAATGTTTATACCATACGAGGAATTAAACTCGCGACCATCGTAAATAAAGCGGTGTGCTATACCG